CGTCACCCGAGATTTTGGATTTATAAACAAGTTTGTACACTGTGGTTTTATTAAGACCATTATTTTAGGTTTGTATGATAAGAAGAATAAATTTATCTCAATCAATAGAAAAGAAATAGTTAAATATTTGGTGTGAATAACTTAAATTTTTAAAATTTTTAAATTTTATATAACTATTCGTTATAATGGCAGCTAAAGAAAAACATAAATCTTAGGATAGGACTATCCAAAGGACTTGCTACACGCTACGCGCTTACGGGTAGCATGTAGGAATTCCTTTGGATAGTCCTAAAACGAAAAATGAATCAATCCTTGCCATCTACAAATTCCAGGTGTTTCCTGATGTAACGATAAGATTACTTTATGGTTACTTAGAGATATAAAATAACTTAATTCTGCCTGTAAAGTATACAACCAACTATACATAGAATTGTATTATCAATTGTTTATCAATTGGTCAGACTGCTTACCTGCCCTTTCCGCTTAGCTTGGAACTGAGAGAGGTCAAACAGTGATAGTGTAAAGAGTCACCTTATATTCAACTTCTGGAGAGGAAAGAGGTATTCTCCAGCGAACAACGTCACGTGGTTCTTGAGTTAGGAAAATTGTTAAGTTCATTCGAAGGCCAATTTACGTTTTGATGATTATTTGAAGTTTTGGAAAACAAGTTTTAGTTTAAATACTGGAATATTGTTGAGTTGGGAGAGTTTCATTTCAATTAAAGTAAATCATTTTTTTTAAACCATTGTTAGTTTCATATTAATACCATTGTTTATTATTCAATAATTTTACCCTAATTATATCAGTCTAATAACGTTCAGAATTCTTTTTATTAGAAATTCTCCCTAAGTACATTTTCTTCATTACTATTTGCATATAATATATTCATCAAGATAAGTTGAATTTTATTTCTTCCTTGAAATATTCATAGTAAAATCTCAATATTCGTTTTACAAATACATAGTTTTTGGTTAATTTTTCAAGGTCACAAAAAGTGTACGAAACCTTTCACTAATTCTCATCATTCGGGCTAGTTTTTCTTGTCCTAACCGTCTTGTTTTTTATCAAATCAGAATAAAGCTAATGAGAGCTTTCTTTGATTTCATTTTTAGTCGCTGGAGAAAGAAGAAAAAATATAACAGTCAATAGAATAGATATTATTTTGGATTTGGGTACTGGATGGAGTTTGGTATATTTTGAGTTTTTTTTGGATTTTCCCGGGATTTTAGAATAACTGTTAAGTTTTTGGGACCAGGAGAGTAAGCCTTTTAGCTTTTACCCGGACGAGTCCATCGGCGTTAAGGCTTCCGGAAGAAGAGCCTTCTAGGCTTGAGAAAAGTCAGGTTTTCTTTTATTGGTCTTATACTATTTTAAAAATAATTTACCTAGATTTTGTATAATTTTTTTTAGTGAACTGAACGAACCAACCTTAATAATAATTACCGTCACTTTTTATAATTCATATGTACATATCATTATATAATATTTGATTTTTCTTCATATCATTTGTTTATTTTTGTCATTAAATATTTTAAATATCTTATTAGTTATAACCTGCTAGGGTGTATTGCAATACATTTATGTAAGGTCATATGTGCACAAAGGTCCATTTGGTATTTCTACAGCCCTACTGGTATTATCATTTGTTTATCTTTAATCTGATCCTTTCAGATCAATTTGAGAACAGACCAATTTTAGTAAATTTACAGGTTATCTGATTGGAATCAAACTAGAAATTGTCAAACTGATACGTTGGTTTAAATATAGGGACGGGATATAGTTTGGATATATATATTTTGGTTGTCAATAAATTTGTTGTAATTAATGAATAAAACTTTATCGAAGGTTAAAAAACATTCAATTTAAAGTGTAACCAGAAGTTCGTACTTTTCTAGTACCGTAGGGAATATAAAATATATTGTATATAAAAAAAGGGGTTAACATAATTTTCATATTGCAAGGGTATTTAAATTAGATTATATATATATATATATATATATATATATATATATATATATATATATATATATATATATATATATATATATATATATATATATATATATATATCGCAAAAAGGAGTACGACCGTCTATCCAATATAAATAAGGATCACTCAGACGAGTGGTGGGTTCAATTATCGGTCAACTAGGTGGAGAAATAAAAGACAAAGTTGATACTACTTCATCTATTTTGAAGACGTTTCGCTATCGAATTCTGATAGCATCATCAGTTCATCTAAAAATTTTTACATTATGAGTACCACACATTCATGAAGAAGATGTTAAATAGTTACCTTAAAAAAGATATGTAGTTGTCAATGGTATTAAAAAGGTAGTACAAAAACTCAAATAAATGGACATCATATGGTGATATTGTATAAACAATTAAATAACTAACAACATTTAGAGACTTAGTAAAAATTAGCAAAGCAACAGAACACGTGGTCTAATAAGCATATAATATTTAATATAATATTAACTAGTGAAAAAAGAACTAAGGAAATCATTGATTCACTTCCAACTATGGTTGAATATATATCTTCCATGGCGCCCTAACCATTCTTCTTTAGTACATTCCTGTTGTCAGTACTCTTGGTTTGATTTATTTATCCTTATTCTTATATTGTCTAAGTTAATATCTAGATTTACTATTCTTTACTGTTTTCTTAGGGCATGCAAATAGGCCTAACCCTACCTTGAGTATCAACTGGCCAGTATCAAGCATACCCAGCTAGCTGAACTGTATTCAGTTTCAACTTTTATTTTTAATTTAGTTTGAAACTTATCTTCACACTATTCTACAGATTTTATAACATCAGGGACCTTGTCCCAAGTAATCTTGATACATTTTGTTACAGTAGCGCCCAACGTGGCGCAACACGTTTTTGTTACACTGAACCGGAAAACTAGTACCTGTTTGGGGTCCCTTGTCCGGGGTTACGGATGAAATCCACAACGGCAGCCACGGCGGATGAAAATACCTTCGGTACAGTGTGAATGGCGGAAGTGGCAATCCCTTGAGTTTTAAAATCACTCACCAACCCATCTAGCCAGCGTGGTGTTTTAAGGCTAAAAAACCTTCTAACAGGAATATGGCGATATCTAAAACAAAAGGAATGTGGCCCTAGGTGGCAGACCATACACTAATGGCAAATCCCACTCCTTTGAAAAAGAAAGACAGCTTCATGGAATCTAAGAAAAACAAGCAATCGCTAAAAACCACACAATTGAATATCGCAACTCTAATTAGTATAAGGTCCTTAAGCAAAGATGAATAAGTCTACGAACTTGAAGAAGACATCAAGTACTTAAAATGGGACATAGTTGGTCCATCAGAGGTAAAATCAAAAGGCATAGTGCATAACACTAGAGTTCGGTAACGTCCTATATTACAAAGAGCGAGAAGAACAAAGCCTAGATGGCGTAGGATTCCTAATTTTCAGGAAATATGCATATAAAATAGAGTAATTCGTATAAATTGAAAATTATTCAAGTATAGGCTCCAACGGCAGCACATCCCATTGAAGAGATAGAAAAATTTTATGAGACAACTGCAGAATGATAGCCGTACCAGTAATTGACGCTAAAAAATTAAGTTGTTTCATCAGTAATTAAGCTACAGTATTAAATGCGCTATATTAAATGTGCTAAAAAAAATTTTTAAAGCTTACCTTCTTATCAGTTTTAACAAGATATTAAGTAAAAACACAGATCAGCATGCACACTCTGAAAACGATGGCTGCCATATCGTGAAATTTTAAACCTGAAATTAATATCTTTGCCACTGAATCATAGATGGCATAATATATCACTGATTTATTTTGAAAAGGTTTACACAAAAGGATTTTCTTATTTTTAGGATGTAAAGTCATATGTGTCAAATACCGGTACTGTCTCAATTACCGGTACGTTTTCCTTAATTGTTCTGTCATTGCTGATCCACAATATTTCAGTAACTCGTTTGGTATCCTGTAGGAGTTAGAGTTATCCAAGCATAATGGATAAAGCTACATATTTTTGAATATTTCGTTGTATTCTAGATTTATCTGGTTAATGTTATCAATATTTCTGTTCAAATTCCATGTTATGTTAACGTTCTTTAATTTCGAGTAAAAATTAATGATTTTTATCTGATGTTTAGTTATATTTAATTCTTCAGTTATAACTTTTGGACAATAATTCTGTATTAGAATATTATTAAAAAAATAATAATAAAGCAAGAACAATTTAAACGTGGCGTTATTTATATTTAAGTTTAAAATGTAGTGCTTTATCCATTTGACATTGGATATTATCTAGAATATCGCTACCCTTTACCATTTATATAGCCAATATGGATAATACACAAATTATATGGGTAAAACTAAATTTATTTAATTTTAGAGTTTACCCGTAACATATACTCTGAATAAGAAAAATATATATGAATGAGTTTACACCTTGCTCAGATTACTTTTCGAGCTAGCCACTTAGGATACAGTTTAAAAAAATATTGACACACCGGAGGGACCGGGAAACCTCAGGGAGTGGTTTGCTTGCACTTCCATACAATTGTTCCGAGCGGCAGCCTCCAGGGTCAAAATTGCCATGATGATAGCCAACCTTCGTAGCGGAGATGGCACGTGAAGAAGAAGAAGAAGGGACCGCAGACGTTCGGATACAATTAGCGTCTCTTAGCAAAGACAATTACGTCGACTTTGCTAAGTATCAAGACAATTACTCTACACACACACACACACACACACACACACACTACACCTCAAATTGTAAGATTGGCGAATGGATTTAGTGTCCGCAGTCATTTAAACACAAACAACAGCAACAAAAAAATATTGATCTTTAAGGTCTATTTTTGATGTACGGTATAACTGAAGTTTTTGAGTTCAAGCATATTCTAAATATAAGTTTCTGGTGATATTTGTTCAAAAAGTACAATCTGTTATTATATTAAATAAGTCCCGGTGGAGCTAATTATATTGGCACATATTCTGATTAAAATCTTTATTTGTAAATATCAGATAAACATTTTTTACTTAAAAAATAAAGAAATTGTAGTTTTTTTATGTTATTTAAAACTTATTATACAACTTAGCAAAATTATTAACTACTTTCCTTAGCTTCCAATTGGTTTAAAAGTTTTAGTTCCTGTTTACGTCTCAAAGAGTTGATAGTGTTCTCAAATTCTTTTTGGTCTTTAACTGACTTCGCATTATACATGTCTCTTTTATTTTTTATTACCCAATCTTCAAAGTACTGTGGTTGGTTGAAGTAAGTAAACATAGCTACTGGAAAGGCGATATATAAAGCCATTCTTCCAATTTCCAACTGCCAGTTACCCATATTTTAAATATTAACTTTATTTTTGACAGATGTTTCAAAAAATAAACATTTTTGAAACGTCAAATTTTCTTGAATTTATTCTAAAAGGGAATACGCCATATTATGTGAAAACTGTGTTTTTTGTAAAGATATTGTTTGTAAACCAACTGACGAGAATAATTGTCAATTTATTCTCAATATCACCACAGACTAATAAACAATCAGAATGCCCACTCTCCATGGAAAATTAAGTACGCGCATCTCCTTCGCGCAGACTTTCCGCCATGTTTTAGAGGGAACCAGTGTTGTTTATGTGGTGTGCATAGAAAAATTAACCCGGTTTAATTGACTTACGGCAACCATAGACATACTATACAATTATATTAACATTGTTAAATATAATAATATAAATAATATCTAATATTATTAAACATAAATATAAACAACTACATAACCTCACAAATCATATGTCTGTGTTATGAGTTTACTTCTAAAACATGACGCGCGTGCTGAAAAACTTCAAAGGCGGCATCTGAGAGTGGTCATTTTGAAGTGTGTCGGCACGTCATCCCCATATTATTAACGGAAACATTAAAACAAACCCATCGAGCAATAAGACAAAAGAGGGAATGTAAAGGTAGAAGGGGTAAACATATTGATAGACAGGAAGTGCCATCTTGAGAGGCCACTTTAGACAAGGATAGAGAGTCTCTCTCCTTGTTTGACATCAAATTTAGTTGGGTTATGTTATTGTTTGTCCCAAATGTCACATGAAATCTTATTTATATTGAAGTTTTTTAACAATTGTGTCGCATTTTAGACTCTTATCATTAATCATTAATTAAAATTTTCTCGTCTAAGACACATTTTGAAAAATATTATATAGCTACTGTTGATAAGTGTCGAAAAATTTAAATTTGGCGCCTTTGCATTTCCGGATGTGTCCGCCATCAGAGGCCACTTTTTTGGTCTCCTTTTTATAACGATTAGATTCCCTCTTTTGTCTTATTGCTCGATGAACAAACCACAGAATAAAAAACAATCAGAATTCCCACTCTGCTTGTCAAGATAAGTAAGCGTATCTCGTTCGCGCAGACGGAATCAGCATTTTAAACGGAACCAGTGATGTTCAGTGAAATTTTATCTGTTGTGCATAGTAAAATAAACCTGGTTTAATTTGTTTACGGCAACCATAGACATAATATGCACTATTTTATTCGTACTTTTAGTTTAAGAATAGATTAAATTATTTCAAATTTACTAAATTATTAATCTCTAAAAATTTAAATTACAGTTCTGTCGTAGCTTGTCACAAATTTCTCGAATCGAGTCTATGTTTCCTTTTAAATTATCGCGATAGAGTGCTGACACACTTCAAAGGCGACATTTGAGAGTAAGCATTCTGATTGTTATTTATTCTGTAACAGAACTGTAATTTAATATTTATTATAATAATTCATGGTATAATAAACTACAGAGGTAACATATTGCGCACGGACGCTCGACCTTCGGCCAGGGAGTGACGTCAGTTGCAGCGTAGTATCATTAGTCAGAAACTAGCAACCGAAGAGTGTAGTTAGCAGTTTCAGAGTTTTCTCACAATTATATTTTTAATTATTTTAAATTTATCTAAAATTTATGCTTTGAAAAAAATTAAAATAGAGCCTGGTACATTAAAAAACTCTTTTAAAATTGTGGAATATTCCAGCTTTAGTATGAAAGATAAAGTACTTTATTATTTAATGACTTTTATTGTACTCTATTATTTAATGAAATAAAAATCAAAAAAGAGTATGTCTACGATAAATCTGAAGACCAAGTATTACAGCCATTTGCATATGTGCAAGTCATAATGCTGACAGGTTTATTTAAACAGTGGAAACAGCCTGTCTATTACAATTATGACACAAAAATGACTTTTTCTATCCTATCTGAGATTATTACATTTGTAGAAGAAGCAGGTGAGTACCAGCATACCATATTTAGGCACTCATATTTACTTATAAATTTTCACTAGGTTTCCAAGCAGTAGCCATGGTTTGTGATTTAGGGGTTGGAAATAGAGGACTGCACACAGAATTGGAAATTACAGAATCCAAACCTTATTTTAAAAACCCACACAATGGTCAAAATGTTTATGTTTTTGCTGACGTGCCACACCTATTAAAGCTTATCAGAAATCATTTTGTGGATGAAGGTTTTATTTTTAATGGACTAGAACTGAATAAGGATTGTGTTGCATCTGTTCTCGATGCAACAACAGGTTTTGTTTTAAAAATTACCGACAAAACAGACAAAGAAAAGCTTAATGTGAGAGTATTAGTAGGTGCGGCATGATATTAATCAAGACACAAATTGGACACAATTGGCAGATCTTTTTAAATTAGTAAGTGTTACAATTTGTAAGGTAAACATTAATTACTAATCTGTTTTAACTTGTTATAGGTGGTTTTATTGACGTTTCAATTTCCACTTCGGAAATTGAAAATTCACTTGTTATAATTGAGCGATTCGTTTGACTTATTTAATGTGAGCGTTCCTGTGAGCGACACTCGAACCAGAAACTGGGCTTATGGTTTGGAGTTAGAAGCCCAAAATGATATTTTAAATAGAATGTCTGACATGATTTCAACAATGCGCGTTAAAGGCAAGAAATCATTGCTTTCATTCCAAAAAGGTAACACAGTATATCAAAGTAAAAACAAATTTATAACATTTTACAAAACATTGTAGGTATTCTTATATCAAATAAGGCTCTGCAGTTGCTGCTTGAAGATGTAGGCAAACGATATAATATGAAATACCTTTTGACGAAACGCTTAAACCAAGATCCCTTGGAGAATTTTTTTGGAGTCATAAGAGCAAAAGGTGGTTTGAACGATCATCCAACTTCTTTATATTTTAAATACAGACTGCGTTCTTATTTAATAGGAAAAAATAAAGGTGCATTTTCAGATTACTGTAATGGAGAAGATGTTGGTACTCCTACATTAACTATGAGCGATAGTATGGTACAATGATGGACTAGAACATTTAGGAGGATTTATTTGTAGCAAGCTTAAAGGCAAGTTACCAAATTTAACTAACCCAAGTTCGACGTCTTACACCTGGACCAATCATTTGACAGAAGGTGGACTATGTAAACCTTCTAACGAATTTATGGCTCATTTGGTAAAACTAGAGCAAATTTTTCAAAACTTTAATGGAGATACCATATTTACTGGCAAACAATATATTTCAAGTGTGTTATCCGCAAGTGTTAATATTGATTGTCCTCAAGATGCTAAGAAAATATATTTTCGATCGCGTATGTACTTCCGTATACAAGATTTTAATAAAAAAAATATTTTAGCACGTACTAGTAAAAGAAAAATAGAAAAAACTATTACATAATGCATCTAGTATTATATTTTTAAACGCAAATTGTTTTAAAATTGCTTCATATTTAGTTATTATATCTTCTGTAAGTGACGGTTTTTTTAAGTATATACTTAAACTTAAGTTAACTTAAGTTAACTTAAGTTAAGTAACTTAACTATATATTTACCAATTATGTATAATATAAATATTTTGTTCCTTCTTAAAAGTTTATAAAAAGTGGAAGTATGTAGGTACCTAAATAAGTAGCTATCTTCTTGTACTAATACCTTATTTGTTCTAATTCGCATAAAAATTAAATATATTTGACTAAGAAAACATGATAAACATTCGTTTTTATTTAAAATGTATGAAGACAGTAAAGTAATATGCAAAATATCCATATTTAGGATGGCTAAATTATGAGTGTTTATGTATACAATTAAGAGCAATGTGAATACTAAACTGCAAGTGACGTCGCTGCGCAAGGTTAACGCGAATTTGTACTTCGGAATAGGTGGCCCTGATAATAATTTATTCTAATCTTCAACTAAAAGTACGAATCAAATACTGCATATTATGTCTATGGTTGCCGTAAATAAATTAAACCGGGGTAATTTTTCTATACATACCAGATAAAATTTCATTGAACAGCCCTGGTTCCGTCTGCGGGAACGAGACGCGTCTTCTTATCTTAACAGGCAGAGTGGGCATTCTGATTGTTTATTTCTCTGTGGCAATATATTATTTTATTTTATTTTAATTATTGTATTTTAATTTATTAAAATGTTTTAGGTACACAAATCTAGTAAGAAAAGAACTTTACGAATAAATAACAAAATAATTCTTATTAGTTCATAATCAGTTCTACTTATCAAGCCCAGCTGTTGTAAATTTGGCAATGATAGGGGTAGGCAGTAACAGTACAGTTAGTATAGTCCTTCCCAAACTCTTCTTTTAGTGTGTTATTGTTGATCGAATTCTCTCTAACGCATTAAGCTAGAGATGACAGGAAATTTGTCTGAGTCTGTGATTAATGGTTCTCAGCTAAAAAAGGACTGAAGCAAGGTTGTTGTTTATCTCCCATACTATTCAATATATATCGACGAAGCACTCAGGCACTGGAAAAAGAAGTGTAAAGGGATGAGGCTGTCTTTTGGGGATGAAACGTTAGACACGTTGCACTATGCAGATGATCAGGTAGTTATTGCCCAAGACAAGGAACACCTGGAGAATATGGCTAGAAAACTAATGGAAGAGTACAAAAAATGGGGCCTCGAAATAAATTTACAAAAAACAATATGTTTGCATAGGAGGAGAACATACTGCAGATGACCTCGACTTAGAAGACAAGAAAACTAAGAAATGCGATTAATGTATATATTTGGGGTAACACTAACAAAGACAGGAAGAACTAATGAAGCCATAAAAGATAGAATAACCAAAGGGAAACGAGTTATAGGTGCATTGAATTCAGTACTATGACAGAAAAATATAAGACCGGAAACGAAAAAAAGAATGTATATTACCATATTGAAACCAATAATCGTCTATGGCTCAGAAGTATAGGAATTATCACAAAAACTTAAAGGTAACCTATTTTTCTATTGGCAATTAAAAAGGATTTTTGAAGGAGAGCAGCGGAAAAGTCTAGATTCGAACGT